TTTGTTAAAATAAAAGCTGATATTCTCCAGATGCTGATTTCTGCATACAAAATCAAGACTGATTATAGCATATACGCAGACTTGTCAATTTGCATGACAGAAGGGGATAAAAGCAGGACCAGAGTGAGGGTGTGATGGGCCACATCAAATGGTTGCTAGGAGCCCTTCCATTTTCGTCCCGTTGGATGCTAAGTGCCAGACCAAGAACAGGAGAAGTGTTTGTCCCAAAGCAATCATTAAGTCAATCCTGCCTTGTTATTATTCATAGGCATTTAAATGTTGTCCAGAAGTTTTAATCTCTGATCTGTTTCCAGCACAGTCAAATTGCAAAGTAATTATAACACTAAACTCATCAATCAAAAAAGACATATGACTTCCTACTTTGCTCTCATTGTCAGCAAAGCAATGTTTTGCTGAACCTTTAATAAATAACAAATTTAAATAGCCTAAGAAAAGTTATCCTAGTAGAGACAGTTCAGTCATAATCTATTATGTGCTGTTATCCAAAAAGCCTCCAAGGTTACTAAATAATTATGGTTGTTTTTAAATGACATGTTTATTATAAGTGTATATAAATGTGGCTAGCTCATAATGCTGCTATCACAGTATGAGGAATATTTTGGGGGGAGCTTGGTTCAGGATAAAATAAGGTTGCTATTACATGCAACATACTAGTTAACAAAATGTCAAATCATTGGAAAGCAGACATAAGCAGGGGTGTTGTTGTTTTTTAAAGAACTCTGTTTATTCTTTTGGAAAATGTTCTCGAGTCAATTGTTTTCTAAACATTTCAAAGTTCTAAATGCGGATTGAGCTTTAATTTAACTGACTCTTCTTCTTAATTGAGCAGGCACTGTAAATAGCAAAGCATATGAGTCAGAATTTGGGGTTTTCAAACATCTTTCTGTCAAACATCTGTTTCTGTTTGTGTAATACCATAATATTAAGAATATCAGAGAAAGAGACATTCGTGTGTGTGTGTGTGTGTGTGTGTGTGTGTGTCAGTCTTGCAGCCTAACCATCAAAGCTGCTATTATCTTCAGGTACAATGCTTTCCTTTTCCTCCTGACTGCTTTGTTTAAACTACTCATCCAGCAAGTTTTGAATATCCTCTTTTATAAGTAGGTACCACCAGCCCCCTACAAACAGTTTTTCATCCAATCTAGGGGGATCTGCTTAAAGAGACAACATAGGAGGGTACACTATAATGACAGGTCTGTGGCCCACATCCTCTTGAAATGAAGTCTTTCCAATTTCTCAAGTTCCTACTGCTCTACAGACTATTGATGTTACACAAGTGTCTGGGCATGTGGTGTTTCACCAGTCTGGAGCACTTAACCAAACATGTTTTTCCTGGTAAATCACAGAGACACAAAAGCATCAAACAAGCAACTTGGCAAAAGAAAATCAAAAGTTAAATATAATTCTAACTTATGTACTCTGCTTCAGCATTTTTGGTAATTTGCTGAGCCAGCCCTGAAGACTTTTAGAAGACTTTTCTGAGCTGGATCTCACTGTCCAGGCTGAACAATGGGGGTGAAGACACTCCTTCAGGTATACAGGGCCAAATCTGTTTAGGGCTTTAAAGGTCAGCACCAACACTTTGAATTATGCGCGGAAATGTACTGGGAGCCAATGTAGGTCTTTCAGGACTCGTGTTATATGGTCTCGGCAGCCACTCCCAATCACCAGTCTATCTGCTAAATTCTGGATTAGTTGTAGTTTCCAAGTCACCTTCAAAGGTAGCCCCACATAGAGTGCAATGCAGTAGTCTAAGTCTTCTCTCTTCTCTTTGGCGATCACTCGTAGCTGAGTACGATTGTCTTCCATAAACACAGTTTTAACAATGAGTCCGTAAGTGACTATGGAGGCCAATTCTGGACCCACATGTCCTACCACAGTGGGGACATTGGTTCCCGGGCGGGAGTTGATCATGGTGTGGATTTGCCAAGCATACCTTCCTCTTAGCATGTTCCTCCCTTGCATTCTGAGTTTGAGTGTCTTCAAAGTCCATGACACCTTTGTTAAAGGCTGTTCTCCAGCTAGAACACTTGCATGCCAGTGTTTCCCAGTTGTCGGTGTTTATGCTACATTTTTTTAGATTTGCCTTGAGACAGTCTTTAAACCTCTTTTGTTGACCACCAGCATTACGCTTTCCATTTTTAAGATCGGAATAGAGTAGTTGCTTTGGAAGACGATAATCAGGCATCCGCACAACACATGACCAGTCCAACAAAGTTGATGTTGAAGAATCATTGCTTTAACACTGGTGATCTTTGCTTCATCCAGTACACTGATATTAGTTCGCCTATCTTCCCAAGTGACTAAGTGGGAGGTAACCAGAACATGTACCACCCTGGCGAGACAGTGTCCAGACAGGTAGGGTCTCAGCCGGCGTACCAGATGGAGCTGGTAGACAGCTGCCCTTGGCACCTGCACCTACATGGACCACTGTGAGTCCAGAATGACTCTCATGCTTCACAACTACCTCTTCATCATCAGAACTGTTACCTTCTCCCTAATGGAATTATTTGCTCACTTATATCTTACCAATATATTTATTTCCCACTGATACAGTTTCAATCATCCTCTCACATCCTGCTGTGAAAATATTATGGCTATCCCCTGTTCCCATGTCTTTCAGACCACTCCTCATTTGGGCCTCCTCTCTTCTCCACCCCTGCTTATGTATAGATTCTCATGAAATTATTCCCTTGTGTACATTGTTATAAAATATGTTCATTCTCATGTAACACATAGAATAAAAATAAATTCTAGCCAACTATTTCTTTTCAGGAGGGCAGCCGTAGTTAAAACCTATCCTGGAATTTTTTGTGCTCTCACATTTATCATGGATTTCCCCCAGGGAAATTGAAACTAGTGTGGGTCTTCCAGCACTAACAACAAATGATTTAAAATAGAATTCTTAAGATGTGGTTTTGACCCCTATCAAGCTATGACTATTTCATCCAGCAACAATTTGATGTAAAGTACTAGAGTAAAGACACCCCAAAACATACCTGAGTTCTTTGAAAGGAAGATTTTATATATATATATATATATATATATATATATATATATATATATATTTGCTTTCGTAGATTTTCACGGGTACAGGAATGCAGGTTTTGGTGTCCTCGGGTGTCTTCCCGTGTAAAAGTTGGGGTGTCTAGGCGACGTTTCGACGAGGTCTCACTCGTCATCTTCAGGCTGGTGCTTTCGGCTTCTTGTTACTGGAACAGAGCAGGATCTCAGTGTTTGAGTTCCTATAAATACTGTTGAGGGGGTGTGGTGTATAGCCTCCAATGTTCTGGGCAGAGAGGAAGTTCCCAGGCTAGTGTGCCTTTTCTTCTTTTGTTCCTTAATTACTTGAGGGATATCTTGAGTGATTTCTTGAGTGATATTCTGAGTACCACTTAGGTGGGTCATTAGGTGTGGATTAGTTGCTAAAGCCTTCGTGTCTTGACCTCTTGAACTTTGTGAAGAGTTTTTCTGAAAAACTCTTCACAAAGTTCAAGAGGTCAAGACACGAAGGCTTTAGCAACTAATCCACACCTAATGACCCACCTAAGTGGTACTCAGAATATCACTCAAGAAATCACTCAAGATATCCCTCAAGTAATTAAGGAACAAAAGAAGAAAAGGCACACTAGCCTGGGAACTTCCTCTCTGCCCAGAACATTGGAGGCTATACACCACACCCCCTCAACAGTATTTATAGGAACTCAAACACTGAGATCCTGCTCTGTTCCAGTAACAAGAAGCCGAAAGCACCAGCCTGAAGATGACGAGTGAGACCTCGTCGAAACGTCGCCTAGACACCCCAACTTTTACACGGGAAGACACCCGAGGACACCAAAACCTGCATATATATATATATATATATATATATATATATATATATATATATATTCTAATGTTTTTAAGACTTGTAGACTGACTGAATATTTAGATTTGCTCCCCTCTAAATGAGTTCCATTTTTCTTGCAGTTTGACCAGGGTTTGACTGTATATCTTTGACAACTCAATGATCTTGCCCCTTTACAACAGACCTCAGTTTCATACTACATGTTTTGTTCAGGGAGAGAGCATGAGGGAAATGGGCTGAACTTGTTCAGTGGCCATTAGGGAATAAAATTATTATTATTAATTACTGAATTTATATACCACCCTATACCTGGATGTTAACTGTTCCCGCCCAGACTGGAAATTAACCTACAGTTCTAGGAGGTCTTTATACTCAAGAGTTAGGATCAGTTGAAACAGAGGTGAAAACATACATTGATGCATTGCAGGCTGCCTGGGACCTCATGGGAGCTGGGCAATATGAACAGTACCAATTCATACAAACAGCATCTTTTTGTGAGGCCAGTCCAAGAGCCATGTCTGTAACCCAGCCCTGACTTTAATGTGAGGATTCCAGGAAATGGACTCCTGATCAAGGTGGCACAGCTTGTGACAGGATATTCACTAAGATGAAGGCTTCATCTACTCCTTCTGCTTGAGAAGGCGTTGGTACATTCCTATATCGAGCACTGAAACTTTTAGAAAATATACTGCATCTGGCATTTACAATTGCCCTTGGAACATTCAAGTATTTCAGCGTAACTTGCTTAAATGCTGGTTATGAGACTGAGTGAATGACTAATAGCAGTTTTCCATTGCTAGTTTTATGAATGAGTTCCTCTTAGTCCATTTGTCTTCCACGCTGCTTGGCTTTACAAAGTTGCAGGACGCTGCAGTTCCATGAAAGTGGCTGTGCCGCCATCCCGGGACTGAATTTTCAGAGCCAATGACCAAGCCAGTGCTTTGAGATACGCAATAAATAAATTCTAAATAGTACTGGCATCGACAAGATAAAGAAAGACTGTTTGGGAGATCGCTAATGACAATGGAATATATGCCTGCACTGGCTCTGCAGGAGAGTAAAAAGCATGAAAATTGTTTGTCGAGTTATTTTATTTCCTTTATTGAGCAAATCTACTTTGTCATTTACACAGATCATTTGAAAGAGGAGATAACCCAGCGGCACATGCAGAAAGCAGCTCAAGGTGAGTTTTGTTGCAGCCATTCTTAGCTCTTTCCATACAAGGTTGTTCCCTCCACACAAATGTGCAGTTGCTTGTTGCCTGCAATCCTCCTGTTCTTGGCTATGGGCTTTCTGCCCCCTGTGCATTTCATGCTACACTGGAGGCATTTTCCTCATGTTGTTCAATGGTCACGCGGCAATGTTTTCATGGCCTCTTCTCTCCTCACAAACAAATTTATCACCGTGGTTAGTGACAGCAGCTGAAGAATTAGGCCTTTTGACCTCACTGGGGCTACACTTCTCCACAAGCTGAGGATCTCGTCCCCTGGCTTCAGTGGAGCCATATTGATTTATGCCTGGTTTGTTTTGCTTAGATGTTGTCCTGGGTTGAACTGTAACACCGCAGCCTTTGAGAGCAGATATAAAAACATGTGCACTCTGTATGTTTCCAAACATCTCCAGAAACATGTGGAGCCTTCACAAATGTTTAATTACTCTTCACTCTTCACAGAAACAAATAATGGGTTACTTGATTTAAATAAAGATGACAGCACAGAGCTGCTGGGTGGCAGCTGAAATTTTGAGCACTGCAGTTTCTAATAATTGTCCTTCATACATAAGACAGGCCTTAAATGTTCATATATCACATTTATAACATATGCAAGATTGTTTTGATAACATATAGAAGATATTCACTGTGGTTTTCTTTATTCATTCATTGTAATATCATAGCCTGATGTTTGCTGTGTAGATTGGCGATCATTACATGCCTCTCTTGTATATGTGTGTTCAGTCTGACAGAAACAGCTGTAGGTTCTCCTAGGGGCTTCCTTGATCACCATAAAGACATCCGTGAATGAAAACTGCTTGGTAGTAAACCTACTTAAGACTATGTGGAAAAATCCCAATACAAAATGAAACCTAATTTCCATTTGAAATCTTGGTGTTAACATTTTCCAGCTGCCTCTCTTACTTAAAACTTTCCTCTCTATGGAGATACTTTACTTCCATTTTGAATAATGATGATCTCTTTTCCCTAATGGACATGCTTTGGATGTGGATTTCTCATTTCAGGAAACCTTCATACTCAGCCTTAAAAAAAAGTTTTAAGACAGATTTCCTTAATTGTCTTTCCTTGCCCTTCCAAGGCAGTCTGTTCCACTGTAGAACATCTCTTACCATCAGAAATTTCCTTTATTGTAACTTGAACCCATTGGTTTGTGTATGGAGCAGGTGCAAACAAGCTTGCTCCATCTTCCATGTGACAGCCCTTGAGATATTTGAAGATGGATATTTGAACTATTTAATTTCTGACTTATTTATAGCATTTTTAACCTATGTCTAGGTCCACCCCTGGACACAATACACCATATGTGGTTTGACTAAGGCAGAATAGAGTGGTACTATTAATTCCCATTATATGTCTGTTGTTGCAGCTTCAAATAGCATTAGTGGTTTTTTTCTGCTGCAACTCACTGTTGACTCATGTTAAGCTTGTGGTCTACGAAGACCCAGAGATCATTTTTACATGTTCTATTGGCAAGCCGGGTGTCCCCCATCTTATATTTGTGCAGCTAGTTATTCCTGCCTAAGTGCAGAACCTGACATTTGTCCCTGTTGAAATTCATGTTGTTACTTCAGGCCCAGTTCTGCAATATGTTACAGTCCTCTTGAATCCTGATTCTATTGTGGCATTAGCTACCCCTCCCAGGTTGGTGTCATCTGCAAATTAGCGGAGCATCCCCTCAGTTCTTTTGTCTAAGTTGTTTATAAAGATGTTGAAGAACAACAGGCCCAAGACAGAAGCCTGCAGTACCGCATTTGTCCCATTTTCACCAAGATGACAAGGAACCATTAGTGACCACTCTTGGGGTTTGGTCAGTTAAGCAGCTACATACCTACCCAACAATTATCTCATCCAGGCCACATTTTACCAACTTCTCCACGTGAATATAATGGGGGGGGGCTTTGTCAAAATCCTTATTGAAATCAAGATACACTATGTCCACAGCATTCCCCTGATCCACCAAGCTTGTAACTCTGTCTAAAGAAGAAATGTAATTGGTCTGGCTTGACATATTTGCTGGGTCTTAGTAATCACAGCATTCTTTTCTAAGTGCCCACAGACTGGCCATTTAATTATCTGTTCTAGGACCTTTCCTGGAATTGATGTCAAGCTGATGGGTCAGTAGTTACCTGGGTCTTCCCGTTTTGGATTACACCCACAAGATCCTTTAGTACCTGCATGCTCCTTTTGTACCAATGATTTACTGGATGTACTGAATTTCTACAAGAAACAATGGGACTTCAGACTCTTGCCGTTTGTCATTGGCAACATGTGGTACTCTGATCTCCTCCTTCTGGAATTTGAGGTGACAACCCAGCTGTGCCTCCTTGTGTGTTCCAGACTGATGTCACATTTTGTTGGATACTCATTTTTTTGTTTTGCGGTGCATCTCTGGTGAATGTGTTCTGTATTTGCACAAATTACTGGTTACACTTCCACCCTTTGGTAATTTGCAGGAATCAGTTGTGGTGTGAGAGAAGAAAACACTCTGCATTGTCTTAAGTGACATCAAGGCAAAGGATGAGGTATCCAATAGCGAATTACTGCATCTCAAAGCTGTATTAACCTGAGGGTATTATTTGGCACATTATCTCCATGTATATTTTATTTGTGAAATTGCAATACAACACTAGGGGAGAAGTTGTCGTCGCGGCACACCTTGGTGTGTGGAGTGCCGCAGGGCGCAATCATTTCCCTGATGATTTTTAAAATCTTTATGTGCCCCCTCACCCAGCTTCTCCGGAGTTTCGGTTTGGGTTGCCACCAGTATGCTGATCACACCCAACTTTGTCTGCTGATGGGTGGCCACCCTGACTCGGCCCCAGACACACTGATCAGGTGCTTGGAAGCTGTGGCTGGATGACTGTGTGGGAGCTGGTTGAAGTTAAATCCTTCGAAGACAGAGGTCCTTTGGCTGGGTCGGGACAACATGGGGCTGGGGGGGGCCCAAGTCCTATCTCTTGCAGGGGCGCAATTAGTTCCGGCATCTTCTGTCAAGAGTCTGGGTGTAATCTTTGACGCCTCCCTTTCTATGGAGGCGCAGGTTACAGCTACAACAAAGGCAGCATTTTTTCATCTCCACCATGCTAAGCAGTTGGTCCCTTACCTCTCTCGCCCTGATCTTGCCACTGTGATCCATGCTACGGTCACCTCCAGGCTTGATTAGTGTAATTCACTCTACATGGGACTGCCCTTGAAGCTGACCCAGAAACTCTAGGGGGTGCAGAATGCCGCGGCGAGACTCCTTACGGGGTCCTCGCCACGGGATCACATTCATCCAGTGCTATACAAGCTGCACTGGCTGCCGGTGGAGTACAGAATCAGGTTTAAGGTGCTGGTTTTAACCTTTAAAGCCCTATATGGCCTAGGACCCTTGTACCTATGGGACCACCTCTCCTGGTATGCCCCACGGGGAACCTTATGGTCCGCAAACAATAACATCTTGGAGGTCCCGAGCCTCAGGGAGATTAGACTGGCCTCAACCAGGGCCAAGGCCTTTTCAGCAATGGCCCCGGCCTGGTGGAATGCTCTGTCACAAGAGACCAGAGCCCTGCGGGATTTGACATCTTTCCGCAGAGCCTCCACGACGGAGCTGTTCCTCCAGGCCTTTGGTCGGGGTTCAGTCTGACTCCCCCTCCCCTTTCATAAGAACTTGCATGAAAGTGGCCTCCCAATTTTTCTTACAGGCTCATATAAGTTCAGCACAAACAGTTGGGCTTGGTGAGCATTTAAGGTCCCCAACCCTAATCTGCAGGTTGCCATCTGCTTGGATTTTATTCTGATCCTGATCTGATTTTAGGATGTATTTTAATTGATTGCCTGATTTTATGTTAATGTGTTATACATTTGATGTTAGCCACTTTTAGTCCGGTTTTAGCTGGGTAGGGTGGCGTATAAATAAAAATTATTATTATTATTATTATTATTATTATTATTATTATTATTATTATTATTTCACACACCTTTATGAAAGTGTCCGTCTCTTTCAGTTCTGATAATGCGGTCAAAGATTTCAGATTTTTGTTGGATAAATGAAGACATCTAAAGAACAGAATATACCATAATAGGTTTCCAGTCAAGGAACAAAACCAGTTCTAGTTGTGGTTTGAATGAAAATTGAACAAGAGTTGCATTTTCTTAGTATTTCACACTTTTAATTTTGTTTCAGTGCTATGGTATATTCGGCTTTTTTGAATATTTGTGTTTCAAATTTGAAACAACCCACATCTGTATATCTAGTATAATGCTTTTGATTCGCTTCCTAGAGTGACATCTAGTGGCATTCTGGGCCATTTTATCTGCCCACCGTTACAGAGAAAATCATTTCCCCAATGTTTCCATGAGTTCAGAACAACAGCATTGGCATCACTTAGCCCTGAGGGTTATTTTTGGAATTTTGAGACTAAAAAGTGGTTGATCAGATGATGTTTGTTAAGAGCATAGATTTTCCATTAGTCCTGGAACAAGACTTTGGTACCAGCTCTGGATGAGTACCTCAAAAACATTCCATGAATATTTGCCTAGGGGACCTTTTAAAAATCTTTTGGGGTTCACATTTCTCTAATGCCACGGCAAATGAATTTATTGGCAGGGATTCTGCAAAAACAGCAGCATAAGGGAAAATAAATAGGCATAGAAAGTAAATTTTGTTCCTTAAAACTATTGCTAGTGTATCAACCCTGAGTCTAAAATACTTCTTCATGATCATGCCATAAATTGATGTGTCCAAGCGAAGCAACATGGAAATAACTGAGAATTTGTCATAGCAAGCATGCTATCAAATAATTTTGGTTTACATTAATAAATTTGAGAACAGGTTACTAAACTCTGTTTTCTCACTTTATGTGTTTTAATTGCTTTAATAACAACTATTAGAACAAATTTTATACCAACGAATGTAGTTATGACATTTTACATTATGTTAAGGAGTATGGTATTTTTAAGCTTGGGAGACA